GGGCGGCGCGGGCGGCGCGGGCACCGCTGCTGAGCCCCGTGCACGCAGGCGCTGCGCGAGGACATCGACGCGCTGCAGGGCGAGCTGGACACGCTGGGCATCCTGGGCGTGGAGCTGGTGTCCTCCTGYGGAGACCCCGACAAGCCCGACGTCACCCGGAGCCTGGATGAGGTGGGTGCTCGAGGGGGCTCCGGCCGCGGGGTTATGGAAAGGGGCCGGAGCTGCCGCTCCAGGGCACCAGGATGGGGCGTCCCCGAGTCCTCCCGGTGATGCCCTGGGTGGGGGTCCCGGGGAGACACCAGGTTGGGGGTGCAGGGAGCCCCAGGGATGGGGACACTGGAGGGGGGGTGTGGGCAGACGCAGGGGAGGGGGTGCCGGGGAGGTGGGCGCCTGGCGTTCAGCAAGCCGGGGGCTCCGGGGAGCCCAAGGTGGGCGGCCGGGGAGCCMTGGGCCGGGGCATCCTGCAGAGCAGCGCGTTTCCTTGGAGATCCCATTGGTGGGTGTCCTGGGGACAGGGATGGGGGCCCAGGATCCAGGGATGAGGGTCTTAGGGATCCAGGGATGGACTCCCAGGATCCAGGGATGGGGGACAGGGATGGTGTCCCAGGATCCAGGGATGGGATCCTGGGATCCAGGGATAGGGTCCCTGGGATCCAGGGATGGTGTCCCAGGGTCCAGGGATGGGGTCCTGGGATTCAGGGATGGACTCCCAGGATCCAGAGATGGAGTCTTGGGATCCAGGGAGGGTGGCCTGGGATCCAGGGATCTGGTCTTGGGAATCCAGGCCGGGGTCGGGGTTGGGATGCCGGGGGTCCTGGCYGGCGCCGACCTCGTGCCCGCCGCAGCTCTACTCCTCGTGGCACGGGCTGAGCAAGGTGTGGACCGAGCGGCACGGGCGCCTCGAGGAGCAGCTCCAGGCCGCGCTCAGCTACCAGGAGGCCATGCAGGTGCGGGGACCACGGGGCGCCGCGGGGACGTCCCCGCGCCGGGCTGTTGCACCGGAGCCGCGGCTGC